ATTTTGAGTTTGCGTTTTCTCCATGTGATCTAGTGGATTTTCTTAGGGTCCTCTGGTTTTTCCCTCCAAATTTAGAATCAACGTGCTTCTTGAGTATTTGGCTGCTATAAATGTTCACGTGATAAGCTATCGTTTGTGGTCTGGTCACTTCTGAAAAAGATCTATATTGCTCAATGGGCCTTGCCTAGTAAAACTAAAATCGTTAAAATAGCTCGCTCATAATTTATTCTCAATATTTTTCCACCCCACACATCAGCGGGGTGCGTGGCTCACAGTTTGGAGGTTGGGAGTTCAAATGTAGGTCAGGCGCCGACTCAGCCTTTCATCTCTCTGCAGGGTAGATAAAATCAGTATCAATTTGTGGGGAAGTGAGAAGTGGTTGTCCTAAGGAAGTCTCACCCCCCACTAAAGGAATGAAGACTTTTTACCACTGGCTTAAAGGGTGTTAAAGGGATGAGCACCATCCCGTGCTCGATTAATGAAGACACCATCTTGTACTATGCTCTGGGTATTTATGACATTTAAAAAATGTATTCTCAAACTGAATTTGGGGATGTTGTGAAAGTTAATCATGTACTCGTTCACTAGGATATATATATATCTCATGAATGTAATCATTTACTGCCCCTTGTCAATCTACTCCTGGACATGGTCCTCTTCATGCCTACATGTTATCGAACACATTTATTTACCTAGGGATAGCTTTCACTGGATGTGGGGTGCTGGTTGCAGGTATATTGTTGGGCTCAATTACTCCAGACAGACGTGGTTGAAATTAATCCGCGGTTATATTCAATAACATGTAACGAATGGCATTAAATTAAAAATTACAAATCAATGTTGGGAATTGTTGGGAATTATGCTTGTTGGTGAATAAAAACACGTTGAAACAATACCATTTAAGATGACCGTTAATCCTTATAATCATTGAGAATCAAGATATATTTTTGGGTGGAACCTGCATTCAATAGTTTTGGCCAATACCTCGCGGAGCGTTTCAAACAGCAGGTAGGGCCAATTTAATTCCGGGAAATGTGGAAAGTTGTCGATTGTTCTTGCATAATGCATTCAAGCGAAGGGTGATGTGATTCATGTCCTGTACATGTACGGCCTATTGCCGGGATTCTCGCACGTTTGTTTAATAATTTATCCGTGCGTTTATTTTCCCTGGGAAAGTTTACAGAGCACCCATATCCCCCAGGCATTAGGGTAGAGTCGGCTCACTTTGCCTAAAAGGTTATCAGGGTTTTTCGGCAGTAGGTTTGTGGGTGGGGGTTAGGCTAGGAGCTGTTCCCAATAATTAACAATTTGACCTTCTCTCCAGAGACAATGGCAGAGGAAGTCACTTTATCTCAAGGGCCGCTTTATGGCTCTCCTTTTCGCATGCCAGGATTCTCGCATTTTTGTGGTTAGATATTTATTTATTTCCATATTACAGCTCATTAAAAGAAACTGGCGGTGCGCTTGTATGAGAGGAAGAAAAAAAATATCTTTGGCAACATTCATACGTGTTTATTTTAGCTCCGAAACAAATGGTAGAAGTATATTTGATGCGGAGGATTTTTTTTTCTTCCAACGATTAATATGGTTTGTGTGAATTGTTGAAGAGTGCGGTTTATGGTTATGGTTCGCGTTTAAAAAAATATATTTAAAATAAGACGCAATCTATTCGTTTCCAAAACGTGACGTAGGCTCAAAGTGTTTGCTATGAAGGTTGATAATACAACACGTTACCTTCTGTGTTCCTTTGGTGAAACCATTATCCTTGGGGCACTGTGTTAAGCGTCTGCTGAATTTGATCAATTTGTCAAAGCGTGTGCTCTTCTATGCTCTAACAATTCCTGTCATAATAATAATAATAATAAGCTGAGCCCCGACACGTTGCCTAAGGCATGCGGTGACACTGACGTCATCTCGCTTAAGCAAGGGAGAGGCATTGAAAACGTAATTTCTGCAGACAATTTTATTGTTTACGGTGTCACATTTAAATTCTAAACAAATATTTTAGTTTCTTTGGGCTGTAAATTATATATTTTTGTACTTAAATCGAGTGAATTGTATGTTAATTAGTTATGTTGGATTGCTCCTATGTACGATATCGTCCTATTAAAAATGTAACAGCCCTTTTACAGGTAGGCTTCTGAGAAAAGTGTTATGATTCAAAATTTACTTTTGGGTCATATATTGCTTGATCCGTCCCAAAAATCAATAAGGATCCCCATTTTCAATTTCCTGCTGGATGAAGGCCTCCCCGCGCCCCTCGACTTTAGAGGCCGTTTAACCATATTTCACCGCACTTGCCGGGAGTACCTTTGTGAATGCAGCACTCTGGGACCAGCTAAGGTATTGCCCGCCGCTGATGTTAGACAAGAAGGCTGGTATTCAAACTCAGTTCGACAGGTTCTAGTGGCACTAACTACGGTACCACCGCTCTGCCAAATTTGATCTAAATCCATGTTAAATAAAGCTACGTACGTGAGAGTAGTTTATAAGCTCTGCTAAATCGTCTGCATAATTTCTATACAGTCAAGATAAAACAAACAAGGGACTGTGTTGGCAGCGGTATACAAAAACATAGCTCTGAAAACGTCTTCATTAAGTGGGTTATCGTCAATTATTTAGGCTATTTTTGTGCACTTGAGCGAGCGCCATATGAAGACGAGTTGCACCTTGGGGCCGGCGCGCTGCCGGATCTCTCCGCAAATGTGAACCACGTGGCCGCCGTGCACCGGCATTGCACAACGCCCGGTGCCCGCTGCAACGCACTGCAGGAACAACAGAGGCAACGCCCCTGGCCTTTTCCCACAAAAGACTCTCAGTCTCCGCGTTCGGTTTAGAGAAGTGAGGTGGGGGAAGGGGTCTGGATTACAGGTAATAGATCTAAGTAAAGGTAAAGGTGAAAGACCTGCAAAGGGGTACGTGATGGGTGCTTTTTGCTTGTATGTCCCCCCCCCCCCACTTCTTCCTGAGAGCTGTTTATAATTGGTGCAGACGGCAGACAAGACGTTAAAGGCGCAGCCCTGCAATTGCTTGCTCGTGCCACTGCTGGCAGAAGGGCCACCACTAGAGGCATCTCTACATGTCCGCTGTCGAGGAGTTCAATGTTTGGCTTACTCTTTCAGGCGGGATTGGTGGTGGTGGGGGAGGGTGGGGTTTTAAGAAACTTGCAGCATTGTTTCAACTGCCACGCCGAGAGATCGGATCGAGCCGGTCACCTCTGGATTGCATGGCCCTCCGATTAGCGTGGTTGGCTGCGTAAGGTGCGAAAGAAGTTGAACATACATACAAAGCGCCGTGTGCTGCGAACCGATACGGCAGCAAAGAGCCAGGACCGACCCGGTGTTGTGAATGGGACTGCTGCACAGGCACCAGGCAGAGTGACACGTGGCTGCGGTGCGACAATTGGCGATGTTTATCTGCTGCGCAAGGCTGACCTCAGGCAGTGGCCTTGTTATCGTGGGGGAATGATACCGGCAATCCTGGAAAGAAAAGATGTCTTTGTGGACCTCAATTTGTGCAAAAACAGCAAATGTGAGCTCAGGCTTGTAAAAAGAAAAAAAAATGTAGATCCCCCTTTTTGTACTCTCCCCGCTCTTTGTGTCTCTCTCGCTCTGTCCACACTGTGGCTTTGAAGTAGGAAAGGATTGTTAAAGTAGAAAGCACTTAAGGCTGTGTTCATCGAAGACTCAATGGTGCTGGTAATGGCACCCTCAGGCCACGGCCGGAGCTGCACGCACGCGGCAGTACACAAACAAGGTTGCAGCAATGCGGAAACACGCGCACTGTGGCGGCGACTCAGCCGCTGGTGCGCTCTCAGGATCAGGATCAGAATCAGCGTCTCTATTTCGACTGCAGGAGGAATCCGATGAGCAATTATGCAGCTCTCTTTCCCACAGATGTCCGGCATGGGTGGGTCAGTCGAGTTACAACAGCAAAGGGTACAAACAAAACACGATAAGCAGTGCAAAGCAGGTAAGCAAGTCAGGAAATGTAAATAAATGACTTAGATACTTTTCGATTTAAAGCTTTCGTGACTGCAGGGATTCATCTTCTTGGTTCTTTCGGTAAAGTCACGTGACTTTACCGAAAGAACCAAGACGATGACTTAGATACGTTAATTATACACGCTTTTAGTTTGTCCACCTCGTTGGAGTGTTCTCATGGCCAGGTTGTGTTTTGGTGGTCCGAGCACCACACGTGACCAGTGGATCTCGGGGAATGTTGAGAATGGCATTCCGATAAAGCTTCCGCTGACCCATTCAGCCCCTATCTCCGTGTCCGCGTCGCACGATGTCACAAGAAAGCATTCCGGCAGCGATTTACATTGTTACGAATGCATCTCAGAGTTTCTACACGTGATTTTTTTAAAAATCAGCATTGGTAATAAATGTTTCACGCCACTGGATGTAAGCGTCGGTCTTCGTAGCACCTTTGACGTGCAGCACGTGATAGAGTCACGTACGGCATCGTTCAAAGATTATTATTTCAAGGTTTAGTGTGTCATAAAATGCTCAAATGGAAATGAGTACAATTAATAGAAGTGTGGCTGTACAAAATTCATCAGCTTATCGAGCGATTAATTCAGCTCCTGTACAGGCATTTGGGGGAATTGTCACATCGCAGAACTGTGAGAGTCAGCGGCGGCTTGGGGAGGCATTCATCCAGCAGTGGATTGATCATTGCTGATGATGACCTAATAATATTCTGCAAGAATTGTATGTAATATAAAATGCAATTGGAGGGTCGTCGATTCTAATTCTGGTTCGGGTTTAAGCCGGCCTATCGTCCCTATCGGCTTGATACAACCTCAATAGTGGTCATACTATGGAGAACCTACCACCTGCCATAGCAATGTGGAATTTACACCACCCGATCAGGGCCACTAAATCGAAACGCTTGGGCTCATCGCTCGTTTGAGCGATGGAACATCTCCGAATTTAATCGTGACCACAACAATTCACCGCGGGGCGTCTGCCGTGTCCGTTTCCTCCCCGCCGCAGCCCATCGATCGACGAACGCATCTCAGCCGTGGCCCGCTGGCGGCCCGTCGCTGGTCGACGACCTGAAGAGGGCCCGGCGCGACCTGGACGGACGGGCGGCGGAACGCGAGGGCAGCGGCGGCGATGCCGGCGTGGCGGGCGACCGGCCTCCGATGGCGGCCAACGGAACCGGCGGCGATCGGCGGAGTCGAGGGGGCGACCGGCACGGGCCGGGGGAGGGTACCAGCAGGGCGCGACGCAAGCGGTTCCTGTCGTACCCGCGGCACGTGGAGGTGATGGTGGTGGCCGACAGGAAGATGGTGCGCTACCACGGGGAGTCGCTGGAGCACTACGTCCTCACGCTCATGTCCATGGTAACGTCGCCCGGTCCGGTCGTCACGCGCGGCTACCGCAAAATGTGTCATCCCTTCAGCTGAGCTGGAGGCGAAGGTTTTGGTGGATCGCACATTTTGAGATTCCCAAACCCTTTGAGCTGTGAGGTTACCGGGCGGTGGCAGTACAATAAGTAGAACTGTGGACCATCTGTGCAGAACTTTGAAGGTTACCTCCCCTTTGAGTGTGAGTTTTTTCTGGGTACTCTGATTTATTTCCAAATGCAGATCGTTCGTTAAACATTAATTTGACAAACAACCCAAGACAGGACCCTCTTGATAAGAGCCTTGGAACTCATGGAGGCTCTCATAGATAAATGAATCACATTCATATTTTGTATCTAAAATAAGGATTGTCTTGGCAGGAAGTGGTGTGTAGAGATTTCACGGTGGTGAGAAGTTAACTCCCTTGCCTTGTTTACAGAAGGTGCTATCTCGAACCAGAGGGCCTGTATATTTGGAGTTTTCATGTTGTCCTCATGGTCATGTGGATTGTTTTCCGGGTCATCTGGTTTTTCCCTTCACATTTAGAGTCACATTTGGCAACTTTAAAGTTCCACATGATAAGCCACTTCATTGAGCTTTCATTTGTGGCCAGGTCGCTTATGAAAAAGCGCTACATAGCTCAGTGGGACTTACTTGGAGAAAAATTGTTTAGTTTTAGTTTGGTGTTTTAACATCGTAACACCTGTTTTATTGCCAGAAACGGTAGAACCTATTATTATATATTTTTAGTTTATTGTAAGCATACCATCCTTACTGTGGGGTTAGTAATATATATATAAAGAACGACGTATTAAAATAGATAATTTTACATGCACTTTCTATGCCATTATAAGTGAGATTCACAATTCGAAACCAGTGGTTGCCCTGGTTAATACTGTGGTGTATTAACCGTCAACTCAGACACCGCCTGCATCATAGTGGACGTTCACGAGAGAGTTTGCCACTGTGTGCTGGCATTGTCGTCCATATTCGCCAATTAATATCCATTGGTGGAAATTGCTCATTGTTATGGCAGGGTGACAACTCTCTGTGATGGGTATCGTGGTCAACTTCCCTCCAATTTATTCCTGAACAAGTTTGTGTCAATTTTATTCACACTCGGATGGATGATGCGTGGAGACCATCGTGACCGGAAGTTGAACTCGCAGCATTTGGAGCTTTCTGCTCGAGGAATCAGAATCTTTACTCAGACTATAATAAACCGATTAGCTGAGCTTCAACCTATGATCCATTTATCATGCACACAGAAAATTATATACTGGTACATTAACTAACCATTACATGAGATGGCATAGATCAGGGGTGGGGGAACGTCCAACCCGCGGGCCATATAAGGCCCCGCGAAATCATTTGGTCTGGCCCTGCCAAGGCAACCGCAGGCGGGACTCGAAATTCAATAAATCTAGGAGCAAACCTGGCAAAGCAGTTGCGAGTAACAGCATCATCAATACCAGCTAACATCACACGCCTCGCCAAAGAGAAGCAGTTCCAGCCATCGCATTAGGGGTGAGTTAATTAAATGTTTGACCAAATATAACAGGCTAATTGTTAAGAATGATGTTATAAATATCCAAATAGCCCTTGGCAGAAAAAAATGTTCCCCACCCCTGGTATAGATAAAGGTGCAGGTCTGCAAGTGTTTACTCGTGCTACTGCTGGCAAAAATTGTCCTTCACTGATGTGCCCCCGGGAGAGTCCCTCTGGGAGGGTCTTGAAAGGAGTTGGAGTACCCACCCTGGCCCTCACCGCACATGACCTGCAAATCGACGAACTGTGGTGTATTGCTGGGGGGAGATTTGAGACAGAGGCAGGGGGAGATTTGGGAAAGTCGCCCATCGTTTCAGCTGCCGCACTGGAGAGATCGAACCGGCGACCTCCGGACCACGGAGTCGAGTGTGCCAACCGTTAACACAGGGGCAGCATCCATTCACCGTTATATGAAGCAAAGTAGTCGAAGCCACGGATCACGTCGGTTAGTAAGAGGACAGTGAACTTCAAAGTGACTGCAAATGCTACAGAGGACAATTATTGCAAACGGGTATCCTTTTCACAGTTTACTAAAGATAAGGAGGGGGAGATGAGATAGCTTGGGCGACACACAATAGCTCTGATTTCCCAGGAGCTTACCGCGGTGCAGTCACGAAGAAGGACCCTGATGCCTTTCTGTCTGGAAACTAAAACAAAAAAAAGCCACAGCTAGCGGGGGGTGCTCCGAAAATAACCACTGGCCTTGAACCGAGGGATTTGGAGTGCACTGGCCTTGCATTAGACTGCAAGGCCCCGTACTCAAATAGCGAGGCGTCGTGGAGTTATTTCGAATGAGCTCAGCAGCGGCGAGCGTAAGCGGTGCGTGCGGCGCCCCACTCAGGATGGGGCCACGTCACGGCGCCCGGCGTGACGTGACCCCACGGGGACCGGTCCCGCTCATTGCAACGCGCTGCTATCCTTGACATTTACAGTCGTGATTTGAAACATATTCCTCTTCTATTTGCGGTGCATGCGACGAGTCTCCCAGCTCAAGATGGGTTCAGGGTCGCCGATGGCCACGAGGCAATCTTTATCGTTTTTACACTTTAATGAAAGCCTGCGGCTCGCAGAGGTGATCTCAGGTCGTGCCGTGCATTGTTCGGCGTGATTCCCGATGGTCCATTGCATCTGCTGGGAGCTTCTTCATGAACTCTTCATAAACTCCGCACATCAAGAACGTCGAACATTGAACTTCATCCGCACCGTACGTAGCCAACCATGTCAATCGGAGGTGGGGAGGAAACTAGGCACAAAAAGCAGTTAGAAAGAAATACGTTTTCAATTTACATTTATAAGTTCCCTGCCAGTACTCCGGTCTCGGAAGGAAGAGCATTTTAGACAGCTACAGAAGCGCATCTGGAAGCGCGCTATGCAGTGACCGACGAACGATACGCAGTACGACCCAATAACGCATCGGTGTGGCATACAGCACAAGCGCGATAATCTGCACAGCCTTCAGTTGCCTAGTTGTTCCACGCTGATGGTTCCCACTGCGTAAGTGGAGTGCTCTTGCCAATAACACGTGGTAAGTTTAACGCGTAGGCTTTCGCGATCAAGATAATCCATAATACAGGTTATTTTTGGTGAGATCGCGTAAATATATAAATGTGTCGTTAAACCCGCCACCACCCGACACAGCCAACTAGTAAAGATTTGTCACGTAAACAGAACGTGCCAAATCATCACCAGTACAACACACCGGTGTGTTGGAGAGCAAAGCCACAACATTTACAATGTGAGTATGACGTTTCGCCAGTAATTACAACTAGCTTCATCAGACAATATCCAGATTTGTGGAGAAATCCTCCTGTTTCATTCACACTTTTATATATTTACACGAGCTAACCCCAAAAAACTTGTATTATGGAACTTGTGGCAACACAGCGGCATGTCTTTAACTCGCCTGGCTTTCTAAAGAGACTCAGATTGTCAAAATCCGCGTGTGTGCTGAAACAAATACTTCTGTGAAAGTTTGTCTGGGAGGATAACAGACTGATGAACTCAAAAAATATTTTAATGGGAACAACAGATATTCGTGTTTTTTTTTAACACACTTTGCTTGAGCATGTTGTAGATTTTATCTGTTGTCAATTGTGCTTTGCACTCTGCTTGCTTGGTGGAATCTTTCTAACTTACATATGACAATGATTTAAAATACAATCAGCACATTTATATATTCTACTACATGTTGTATACACATGGTCAGTTCCGTAGAATTACAGCGTTGGACATAACTTGTGTAACAAAAATTTCACGTATTATCATTTTGGTTTTGAGATTGTATCATGGTGCTTACGGATCAGTTTGGTGCTGGACATCGAAGAGATAATTTTGATTGCGCATTTATGCAACGCTTTTGTCATTTCATTACAATGGAACTCCCCAACAAAAAGAAACACGTAAATAAATCGTGCAGTAACAAAAACAAATTGGACAAGTACATGTACCTTAAATCTTCACGGTTTTGTCCATCCAAGAAGTTTAAATGTGCGCGCCACAGTTAGTCAATCGGCAAGTCATATGTGTTGTTGTCAAGCGTGGGCATTCCCACCTCTTCTAAGAGTCTGGTAATGCAAGTATGAATGTGGAACTTCTTTCGCTCTGTACGTAGCCAACCACGCTAATCGTAGGTGCGGGGGAAGGACAAACATCTTCCTAGCGTTGTTCCCGCTGTGGCACAGGGTCCGCTTTTCGGCATTGTCTTCTCCATTTGGCTCGGTCCAGGGCATCTTCAGGGAATGCGTTGACCGTCTTCATGTCTTCCTTTATTCGATCCATCCATCGCTTCTTCGGACGTCCGCGTGGACGGCGGCCCTCTGGCTCAATATGCATGGCAGTCTTGGCCACTGATGACTCTTCACTTCGCATCACATGGCCGTACCACCGAAGCCTTGCCTCCAGCATCTTGTCCGCAATGGGGGCCACACCAAGTCGCCTCCGAACGTCTTCGTTCATGACACGATCCCATCGAGTCAGTCCAAGGCTCCATCTGGGGGAAAAAAAAACTAAATACAATTAATCAGTTCTAAAGAAATTCGTTTTCAATCTAGTGTGGAATAGTAGGCCAACTCCCCTTGAGAAAGGGCTTTTCAGAGTGCCTTCCAGTAGGTGCCGTTCCGCCAGCAGTGGCGTGAGGAAATGGTTGCAGGGCTGCACCTTTATCTTCTCCATTCTCTGCTAACCACTTTTTTGGCTCGAAGCAGTTTGGCAATGAGATGCTAGATGTAGCTTCAAACATGGGGGGGGGGGGGGGGTTATCACCATAGGATGGCATGAAAAACATCTCTGCTAAAAATGCCACGTGATTGTTTCAAGGTGTGATGTAAAAAAAAGAAGATTTTAAAGCCAAAATATCATCTTCTAACAAAATGCAGGCCGTGAGAAGTGATAAGGGCTGATATGTGCAAACCAGCCAGGCCGTTTAGAATTGCCAAGTTATGTGTCCGTGC